GGGCTGAAGGCAGGAAGGATCTCCTCTAGCTGTCTGTATCACAGCAGTTAAAGCCTCTGACTGAAGACAGTCATAAAGAGCACAAGGTTTTTAATTTTATATGAAATTATTTGCTGTAAAATCATCTCCAGAGGTTCCCACGGTAAAGCCGGCCTTCTCTATTGAGCTTAGTGAGGTCATTTGCTCTGATACTAGTCCTTCTCTGGTCACCCTGTTATGTTGGTAAAGTGTCACAATGCAAAGTTTATGGAAAAGTGCTAAAAAAAAAAAAGATTCTACCGATACTATAGAACAAAATATCAATAAAATACACAATATAATTAAAGCTGCTAATATTTTTCTCTGTTACTTTTAATAATCGACTATTTAACCTGATCTTAGGAAACAGGAACAAAAATAAAAAGCAATTCTTCAAAGTAAAAAAGGATTGAACAAACCTCCTTGGGGATGTTGCCATGGAGCAAGGCCTCAATATGTAACCGTGACAATAGCTGAGGTATGAAGGCCCTAAGGCGTGGGAGAGTTACATCTGGAACACAGATTACAGAAATCTATCAGAGCATTTCTCTCTGGGCATCAGAGGTGAATCTGAAAGAAAACAATGACAGCATTTTCTTTGAACCTGGAAGAAATTCCTCTAATAAACCCAAACCAGCAGTTTGGTGTTAGACGGCCATGCAAGCTGCTAAAATACTCACATAAATTACGCTTAGACACACAATCAGCTGTTATTAGTCTAAAGAGTGAGAGAGAAATCTCAAAATGAGGTCAGAAGGAATTGCTTGGCAACAAGCTCTGGTTTGCTGAGGCTCAGGTGAACAATCATCCCTGCAGGAGGATATAAAAAGGTAAAACAACAATCCAGACGGCAGCTGTTGGGGAATAAAAACCCTCAACATCGAAAGAGACGAAGATTTAAATGACAAAACCAGAGATTAGAGAGAAGCGTCTACCTGCAGTAAAGAAACAGGCACATTCATCACATCACACATCAACCTAACCTTTATGCTTTGCTCTTTACTTGCTAATTTCTTTTAAAAGGTCAGTAAAGAGAAATCCTGACTGAGAACATGTCTCACCATCAAGAGCCTCTCTGAGCTCGTCTTTGGTCCACGCCACCTCAGTCATCAGGAGACGGAGGTAGTACATGGCATGCTGGTGCGGCTGCTCGGCTCGGAAGTTGTTTAAAGTCCTCATGTACTGAAAGGAGAAGGTCGACGTTAAGACTTTAGAAAATAAGTCATTAAATGCTACAGTGATCTAGAGAAAATCTGAACTTACTGCTTCTTTAATAATGTCGAAGCGCTTCTCGTCGATCTCGAATGTTGCCATCTTCTCAATGATCTTCTTCAGCAGGATGTGGGATTTATCATTGTAACCTTTGACTGTAAGCTGCAGTAAACCGCAGCAGAAAATATGCGATAAATAAAACTCTATAGAGAAAGACTAAAGCATGAAAGACAATCAACAATACAAAGAAAGGTTTTTCTAAATGTCATCAGCTTGAATCAAAGAGTGAATTTATGACAGTGGTGTCTATAAACTGAAGGTGTTCTGTGTGACCAGACTGACAGGACTCCAAAGGTAGATTGAAATTAAGTTTTACGAAACCACAACTGACGATCTTTTTAGACCTAGTTTAAAGTTTAAATGCTGTAAAAATGTAAGGCAAAAACTCAGGAAGGAGGAAATTAAATAAAGAAGGAAGGTAAGCAAAAAAAAAAAAAAGGTAAATAAAGAATAGTGTTGCACTGATGCCATTTTTTGGCCCCGATACCTGGCTGTGCAGCATTAGCCGATACCGATACCATCCGTTTGAAATTGATGTGTGTGTGCATATATGAAGAACTGCATACTACTTGTGTTCTGAAGGCTGCATGCCTTAGATGGGGACTTGGGCCGATCCGGCCACTAGGGGGCGCACGCATGCTCAATCGGGCTGGGTGCCACTACTAGGAGGGAAAGGAAGAGACTGTCGACGGTGATTCGAGTGTATTATAAGTAACAGGTTGTGTTTGTAACGTTGTGTCCAGAGAAACTTAAGTTATATTGTTTTTGCTGGACGAAATTATTGTTGCTTTATGTTTAATCTGTTAGGCCGGCTGGTTGAGTTATATCTGGTGCTACAGTTCATATTGCTAGCAGTGCTAATTGCTAGTTACCTCAGATGGTTTAAATGGTAATTTATGTTATATTTAAGCTACAGACCATTTCCTTTGTTGTTAGTGCCGGACATATATAACTATTATTTCATTTGTGTGCTATTGTTAAATATATTAATAATTGTTATTATTTGTTGTTGATTGTTTAATCAAATTGTTATTATTTTCCAGAACCACACTGGATTAAAGTGCCATAAAAGGACTGACTGTCTCCTTCATTATTTTATAAGTCTTGGGGGAACTTAGTGCGTTTTCACAGACGCACAGTTCGTGATTACAAATCAGAGAAGCCAGTCTAATAACTTTGAACTAGGGATGCACGATATAATCGGCCCCCTATCGGTATCGGCCTTAAAACTGAATATCGGACATCGACCACCCAACCGATATTTAACCCAATATTTGATCAGCTTCTGAGTTTCTAAAGTCTAAAAAAAAATAAAATAAAAAAATACTACTTCTTCTTCCTCAAAAACTTCTTTTTTACAGACTTAAAAACTTCTCAAGACGAGGGAAAAAAATCTCTTCATATGCTGATATATTGCCATTTAAAAACACCATATCAATCTCTTTTACTAATGAAATATTGCTATACGTCATCGCTATGCTACGAAATCCCCCGAAAATTCACGAAATTTTGCCATATTTTTATATGTTGATATATTGACGCGGTATCAATCTATTTTACTAACAAAATCTCACAAGAATTTGCAAAATATCACGAGAGTTTGTAACAGAACAATGAAATTTCACGAGATTTTGAAAGTAAAGTTGATCGATACCACGTTTTTAAAAATCAATTTGATATCAGCATATGAAATATATTTGAGTATATTA